CTCTTTTCATCTCTTCCATTTCTCTCTCTCTCACTGATACATAAATCTTCAGTCTCTCCTCACTAGTGATGTCTTCAGATGTGCCTACAGACAGGATTGAGGCTCCTGAAATACCACTCCTCCCTTTGACCCTCCTACCCCATCCAGTAATCATTCCATCTCTTTCCTCCCTTCCCTTCATCCTTTGTAATGTGGCTTCCACCACACAGCAGTCTATTCAAATTACCCTCCCAGACATTGCCAGTCACCTCCTAGCTACTAAACCCCATGGCCTTTCTCCCACTCGCATCCTCCTTGGCTTCTCTTTAGCGCCTGCTGTTTGTCCACTTTTTCCCCAGGAGATTGCCATCTTCCCTTACGTTCAGAGGCACATACACATTTTTATCAGTGTCTATCCGTACCACTGCCAAGACCACAAAAGATCTGTTTGTCAGTTACTCTGAAGAAAAATCAATCTAAAATTAAATCCTGTCACAAAACTTGCCAAGAACTTGGAAAATGCTGGTTTGGTGATTCAAAGCTTCGCTAACTGCTATTTCCCACTTGCGAATTTTTTTGAGTTTTCCTCCTCCTAGCAAGACTTAAACATTGTTTTGAGCTTTGTATTGCAGATGGAAATTCAAACATTTTATTAGTAAGTATTATAAGCAAGGCAGTTTGCTGGATATATGGACTAAAAACCATTTTCTTGTTAACACTTTATATCAAATTCACTGGTTATATGCTTGTAAAATATTTACCACTGAGTGTGCTACACATTGTTTCCCCTAGTAGAATGTTAGCTCCTCAAATACAGAAGCTAACTTACATTCAGTTTGGTATCCCCAGTGCCTACCACGGGGCCTCACACACAGATCCAAGAATTCAAGAAAAACTCTGGACTGACTGAGATCCCAGGAAGATTTCTTCTTGGGCAGATAGAAGACTGTTCACCAAGAATATGAAATGAGCACACTGGGCCATGGACAGATTTAACCAGACGTCTTTGCAGACTGGGTTGTTGCATGATTTTGTACCATGGGTTTTTTTGATGAGGATTATTTTATACAGAGAATATCTCAGCTGTCAGAATCTGTTGGCTGTGAAGTGTCTGAATGGAGCAGCAGTTTAGGTCTAGTGAGCATGGATGTTTCATCACTCGCTTTGGCTTCCTGATAGATCTGTGATTTCATTGGCATGACTCCCCACCTATGATTGCCGTCCTCCCACACTGTCTCCTCCTCTAAGATTCTTGCCTGTCTTTCCTAATGTACACCCTTGAGAGGCGACTCAGCACTCTGGAGGGAATCCTTCTGTTCTTTAGGTTCTGGGGGGGGAAGGGGGGCCCAACATGCCACTGGACTTCTCCATCTGCTATCAATCAGTCTCACCACATGACTAGCTGCTTCCTTTTCCAAACACATATCTTTAATAATTCAGGTCAGTGCAACAGACAACAACAGCAAAGAAGCATCTTGTGTGTGCCAGGCGCCTTGTTAGGGTCCGAGGACACAGAGATGAACGTGAGGAAGTCCCCGCTCTCATGGAGCTTAATTACATTCTGGGAAGGAACTGCAAGTACAGGAGTCACAGGGTCAGAGTGTTAGAGCTGGTCTAAGTCATTTGCAAGGGCAGAGTGCTCATGCCAAGGGGAATCAGGGCACTCTTCTATAGGAGAGGGCAGCCGAGAGGAGCTTGGATGGAAGCGAGATATTACCTGTGGAATGGAGGGGGACGTGGGAGACATGGAGGGGGACATCGGGGGTGGGGGAGCATGGAGGGGACGTGGGGGGAGACATGGAGGGGGACATCGGGGGTAGGGGAGCATGGAGGGGGACGTCGAGGTGGGGGGAGGCATGGAGGAGGACGCGGAGGGGACATCGGGGTGGGGAGGGCATGGAGGAGGACATGGAGGGGGAGGAGGGTGGGGAACGTATACCAGACATGGGGGCCGCTTGTACAAATGCTCAAAAGTGAGGAGACATATGTGTGTATGTGTATGTGTACATGTGTATATGTGTACATATGTACATACACATTCTTTTTTTATATAAATTACTTATATAGAGAATGTATATGTATACTTATATATAGAATTTATATGTATACTTATATATAGAATTTTATATGTATACTTATATATAGAATTTATATGTTCCCTTATATAGATACCTGATGAATATACCTCCTTTCTCCCATACATACATACATACATACATACATACATACATACATACATACACACATACATACACACAGGGGAGACTGACATAAAAAAAAATCTTGTTGACAACTAGCGTACCTGGCAGCGGAGTGGATGCGTCCTTCATGACCTTCTCAGGAGGTGATGGATTCACCCCTTCCATGGAGGTCTTTGAGCAAAGTCTGGGTGATGTTTATGGGTGTGTGGAGTATTGATTCGACCAGTTAGCCTCTGACGTCCCCTCCAACTCTAAAATTCTGTGATTCTGAAATAACAAATTTAGAGGTAAAGGTGGGTTTTTCCTGTGTTTGTTCTTAGGGATCATTTGCAATCCAAAGTAACAATTCTGGCTGTCTCAGCATTTGCTGACCATTTGTGGGAGGTACTCAGCTGTAATACCAGGCTTTGGAAGTTAGACTATGCAGTCTAAACCATGAGGGAGCTGGACAGGGTGGTCTCCGAGGCCCCTCCCAGCTCAGGAGTTAAAGTGCATGGTTTCTTCTGGGTGGAGGCGCCCGATTCAGGTCTTTCCATGACTTGTCTGATCAGTTCCAGTGGGATCCTGGACTAGGAGGCAATGGAGAGGGTGTGTCTCCTGTGGCCTGCTGCCACGGCCCAAAGGAGCTGTGCACGGAGGGTGTGGAGGCTTTGCAGACTTGGTGAAGTCATCCTAGGGACTAAGTCCAAATTGAAAGGGTGTATTCTAGTGGGCCCAGGCCACGTCCCAGGTATTGTATGTCAGCACTAGGTGTTCCTGGCTGCTCCTGAATGGGGGCCAAGGGGGAGGAGAGGAGAGAGGGCATCTAGGGGAGGAGAGAAGGGTCACCCAAAGAGACTGGGCAATGAAGAAAAGCAGCTGACCACCTTGTGGGGGGGGTGCACTGCTGGGCGGTGAGAACCCACAGAGGGCTGAGATGACCTTTGCCTCCAGGGAATCTGCTAGGAAGCCTAAGTTGGAAGGCAGTCTGAAGACTTACAGAATCCCCAAGTCTTAGAGCTGAAGGGCATCACGCTAGTCCCACCTGCACTCGAGCAAGAATCCCCTTGACACTATTCCCACTGAATGCTCGTGCAGCGTTTGCTAAAGAGACCCCCAGTAGAGGGGAGCCCAGCACCTCCAGGGACCCTCTTCTACACTGGGACAGCTCAGAACGGTGGAAAGTGGGTTTTCCCCAACATCTGCCCCTCTGCACCCCGGTTCAGCCTCCAGGGTACCACTCAGAGTGAGCCTCAGGTCTCCTGCAGAATCTTCCTGAGTCTTCTCTGCCTGGACCAGAGCCCACCTAGGTCTTCACAGGAGACAGCTGGCCTTGCACACTGGCTCGGTGGGGTTTGGGCAGCACGCCTTTGCTGTTTTGCCAGGCAGGCACTCACCAGCTCTGGAAGAAGTGATGTAACTTCTCTTACCTCTCAGAGTAGCTAAATGTAATAGAGAGAGTGCTAGACCTGGAGTCAGGAGGGCGTGGCTTCAAATCTCACTTCTGACGTTTTCTAGCCGTATGACCCTGAGCAAGTTATTCTTTCTCAGCCTCAGTCTCCTCAGCTATAAAATAATAATAGCACCTGCCTCACAAGGCTGTTATGAGGATCAAATAAGAAAAATCTCTTCAAAGCATTTGGCAAACCATAGAATGCTACATAAATACTATTTAATAGTATTTAATACTAAAATGCTGTATAAATACTATATAAATAAAATAAAATAAGATAGCCATCATTAATAGTGTCTTGAAGGGGGAGCTAGGTGGCACAGTGGATAGAGCGCTGGCCCTGGAGTCAAGAGGACCTGAGTCCAAATCTAGTCTCAGACGCTTACTAACTGTGTGACCCTGGGCAAGTCCCTTAACCCTGATTGCCTAAAAAAAAAAAGTGTCCTGAGCACCTAGATATGTCCATTCTTCTGTGCACTGAGAATACAAAGACAAAAGCAAAAAGGAAATTTACGTCAGATATGTGAGACATACTTTAATCTGGGGGTTATTAATTGCATCACTACAAAGGGTTACCTTTCCTAGCAGCTGGCGCTCACCTCTCCTTTCAACTGCCAGATTTCAGTCATAACGTCCTTCTCATCCAAGAAATAAATTTCCTGTATTTTGACTCCTCCCCCACATTTAAGGCAGAATTAATTTCACGTCCTGAGTATAGCAGTAAGTGTGTAATGACACCGTGGCAGGACCGATGGAGAGGGTTGAATTTGGAAGCCTGAGGACGTGGGTCCAAATCTCAGCTGTGCTTCTTGCTAACTGGGTGGCCTTGGGCAAATCACAACACCCACCTCCAGGCCTCAGTTTGGAAGGCAGGGAAAGAGAGGATTCCTGAGGTTCCTTCTCTAGGTGATATTCTAATGCTGGATTATAAGGAGACGCTGCCCTAAAGAAATTATCAGGACAAGTGCTTACGACACTCCCCAAAATAAACATAACTCTGCTGATTTCATTTTTAGAGGCCTCTCTGGAATTAGGGTAATTCCCAGATTCCCTCCATCAGTGATTTTTTTTATCCCTAAAACTCCAACCCTCAACCACTGATCTACCCTACCAGTTCCTCTCTCCTTCCCCCCAATTTCTTCATTAAAATATCCACTAAAAGGGAGAAAATTTGACCTTGTGAGTCTAGGTAATTGTGGATGGGTCTATTTCCAAAGCACAGGCTGCCTTTCATTTCATTTGTCATTTCCACCCCATCGAGCATATGTAAAACTCTGTTTCTTCTGGCAAAACCAGCCCCAGCTGTCCTGGTCCCATCTCTCCTTAAATTGAACATCGTTTCCTGCCACCTTGCCCTTAACAACTTCATGACTCTGTTTTCCTTCCAGCTGACCCCCTGGTGGGAAGTATCGCCACTCAGTACATGACCAACAGAGCAGAGCACGACAGAATGGCCAGGCAGTGGACCAAGAGATACGCGACATAGGAAGCTCCTGCCGCGGCTTCTGACCGACCTCTCTGCAAGCACATTCACCAAGTGCATCAATAGCCCTTCCCTCCTATGTGGTCTTATTTTTATGACATTTTGAACCATTTTGTGACAATATGTTGTCCTTTCTTTCTTTTTATTATTTTTATTTTATTCCCCTCCCCCCTTTTTTTTTCTCAGTTCTATTAACTTGAAAGATATTTCCCCTCCAAGTAGACGGGAATTTTTTTGGCTTTGATTTGTTTTTTTGTTTGTTTTATTTCAGTGCAAAGAATGTTGGATCGGTGATAGTATAGAGCTTTGTCACAAAGCTTTGTATTCATGTGTGGTTTTTTTTTCTTTTATGTGGTCTTTGGGAAAACAAAACAAATTCAGAATTATATCTCGTTTCTACTTCAATGTAGTGTTTAGGGTTAATTTTTTTGTACTGAAGTCTTTAATGGTGGGTGCATGCTACTGGGAACAAGTTTTGTATAAAGGCTTAAATTCAAGAATCACTGTGCATTACTGAGACTCTGTTTATCGCTAGCCTTCTGTCTCCCACGCAAGAGGCTATTGGGTTGAACAAAATAATATGTATTTTGATTTACTTAAAGTGCTTGTACATTTCTTAGGGACCTGCCACTTCTGACTGTGGAGCAGTTGACGTACACTTGTATGACGAGAGCGCTCAATAAAACACCGTGGCGGAGATGCGCACTTGGGGTGAAGTGGCGGTCTTGCTTTCTGTCTATACATTGGGGCGGGGCAGGCGTGGCAGAGCCAGCCTGATTCAGCTCTGGGGTGAAGCATCCTTGGAATCTCAGAGCTCTCACGTCATTTTACAGACGAGCCGAGAATTAATTTCGCACAAGCATCCTCTGGCATACCCATCTTTTATGCCGCAGTCAAACTCCTTGACCCCCAGAATCACCTCCCAGGGAAAGTCAGGCCCATCCCTCAGCTCACTGAGCCCTCTCGGGCTTGGGTCTGCTCCTGAAGTTCCAATGGCAGCTGCTTTCCCTCAATTTTTTTATTCTAGAGGAAAAAATGAGCTCAGTTGAGCCATCCCTGTGGGCTTACTCAGCAGCAGCCAGAGTGTTTCTGTCCAGCTTTGACCTTCAGGCTAATTTTAGACAGGCCGCTAGGGGAGGAGAGCTCAGTCCTACCAAGGAAATATGTGGGTGTTGCAGTCTGGAAAACATCGACCAAATGCTGCTACCTTAAGGTCCTTTGTGTAGCCTGGCATACTGGAAAGTCCCTGTTTCCTGTCATTAATGATTGCAGGTTCTGGGTGATGCCTCAGGGAGACGCTTTTGTGCAATGGATAATAGAAGGGTGGAGTCCAAGTCCTTGCTAGCTGACCAGGTGGGCCTGTCATGACTTCTCTGACCCTCAGTTCCCCCATCTCAAAAATAGGGATAACTAATACTCCTGTTTCTTACCTCAAAGGGTTGCTTTAGGAATCTTGAAGTCCTATAAGAATGTGAGCTATTATTATCATTGTTAGTGCTCACAAGAATTGTTAAAAGCACTACAGCTAAATCATTGAATTTATAGGCCTAAGTTAGTCATTTCTCAAAATTTGAATGTCACTTGTTTTCTGACGTTTCCTTCCTAAATGGCACAAATTTTAATGTCTAATATTAGAGACACATTTTTCCTCATATTCAAAAAGGGAGTTGATAAGCATATATTTAAAGATTGGAATTTCATTTTACTATTAAAATGTCTGCATTGTTCCTCATGTTAATATGCATATCTTCCATTTGTCTTATTTTTGAGGCCTCTTCTCCCCTTTAGAACACCAAAGTCTGAAAAAAAGGAGAATATGTAAATGAAATAGAGAATACAATACAGGATTCCACCATTAGGATCATGAAAAGGTGTTTGTTTATGCTTTTTCTGGTATCTCAGCTTCTATCATAACTTACAATTGCTATTTGAACCATTTTATAGACACTCATCAAAGGCCTTGGAGATAGTGTGACATACTGCTCTGTGTTTAGCAGTTCTTCTGTTTGAAATGAAATAAACAGCTATGGCTTTGAACAACATTAGAGAAGCCCAGGAATTCCTAGAGAATCCCTCAGAACATCCTACTGCCGTTAGACTTCCTCATCTGCCAAGCCTCTGTGCTCCTGTTCCCATGCCTTCGAGGAACTCAAGCTTAAAAAAGGCTAACTTGGTTCAATTCATCAAGTATGTATTAAATACCTACTGGTATTTAATAGTAGGCAGCTAAATAGCTCAGTGCATAGAGCATGGGTCTGGAGTTAATAAGACCTGAGTTCAAATCCAGCCTTTGCTACTTACTAGCTTACTAGGGAAGTCACTTAACTTCTGTTTGCCTTAATCCACTGTAGAAGGAAATAGTGAACCACTGCAGTGTCTTTGCCAAGAAAACCTCACAGACAGCAATGGCATGTTATGGTCCACAGGGTCACAAAGTGTCAGACAGGACTTTATGACCAGATGACAACATGCCAGACACCGTACTAGAAGTTACTGAAGATACCTTACCGGAGCCACCTCCTACTGGAAGTGAACGACATATGGCAGATTTGTTATTGTTTGTTACTGTTTGGTCATTTTTCAGTCGTGTCCGACTTTTCGTGGTCCCATTTGGGGTTTTCGTGGCAAAGATACTGGAGCAGTTTTCCTTTGCCTTCTCCAGCTCATTTTACAGATGAGGAAACTGAGGCAAACAGGTGAAGTGACTTTCCCAAGGTCACACAGCTAGTAAATGTCTGAAGCTAGATTTGAACTCATGTACATGAGTCTTCCTGTTTCTAAGGCCAGTGCTCTATTTACTGCACAGCCTAACTACTCTATATAACAGGTGTATATAAAATACATACAGCTTTTGTATGTGCAAATCTTAGGGAGAGGGGAGGGGAACATTATAATGCACCAACCTGTTATCAATAAGTTATCATTTAAATGCTAACTGTGGACCTAGCACCTTCCTAGGAATGTGAGATTCCCTTTTTTGCAAATTTAATGGTTAAATTCAGTTTCTTTTTTTAGAGGGTAAAGGTCATCTCCTTGGACACCTTTCACATAATACATTCCAAAATTATATACAATAGTCCCTGGTAGGTCTGTTTTGGGTTAACAGAAGCAATTTTAGAGTTAGTACCTCTAACAATTCCAGAAGGAAACCCAGTCCTAAGTCTCCATTTGTTTTGCTCATAGCTATTTAGGTTTTATATCCATCCATGATAGGAAGAGGTTATAAAATATCTCCTATCATTTTTATGAGCTCGGCATAGTTCCCAAACAAATGCACCCGGGACTCCCAACCTAGAAATTGGCTTGAGCTGTCAGCTTCCCTCCAGGGACCCGAGAGCTCTTAGGGAAGGAAGCCTTTTCACTTGGGATGCCAGGAAGCAGAGGCATTTTCTGTGACCCCTACAGGAAACTTCTGGCCGCAGGCTTCCAATCATTACCTAAACAATTAAATGCAAAATGAAATTGAAATGGATTTTGTAAGGGAAGAAGAGCAGAGGGAGGCAGTTTTACCTTGAAAAACTTGACCAGTTTCACTTTTGTAGGTGAGGGAAACAAATTCCTAAATTACCTGGGTGGCTTTGTCCCACAAATGATCTCATCGTCTTTGTTGGGTCCTTTCGTGCTGAATACAGCTTGTACGAGGATTTTAGAGCCGTGTTAAATGAAATGTTTACATGCTATCGACTCCCTGTCATCGAGAAAAAATCAAGTTCAAGGCAGGAGATTTGGCTTCCATAATTCAATTGGATGTGTCTTCAGATTTGCAGGGGAATTGAAAATAAAACCGTCATATTTTCCCAGCTGCCCCAGAAGGGCATGCAATAGCAATTGTGTTCATAGGCCCTGATGAAACTTGTCAGGGAATGGAGTTGGCCAAGGAGTAGTGTCACGGCTTCCCTGGGAATCAGTTTATCACAGGTAGGAATCAGGAGCCCTAGCCTGAGAGTAAGAGAAAAGTGATCCTATCAAACCTCAGTGCAAACGAAGGCGATACGGCAAGGTGGTCACCATTGCTAGCATTTACAGAGTACTTCAAGGTTTGCAAAGCACTTTACTCATATTACCTCCCTGGGTAGTAGCCGGTTAAACATTTATTAGGTACTTGCCCTGTGCCGGGGATATAAAGAAGGACAGAAAACAGTCCCTGCTCTTGTCAGCTCACAGCCTGATACAGGAGACAATATAAACAGCTATGTCCAGGCAAGCTGGGAAACAATACAGGCTAAATAGAAGAGCATCCACGGAGGGAAGGCGCCAGAATTAAGGAGAGGGGGTTTGAGCTGGGAACTGAAGGAAGCCAGAGGAGCCAGGAGGCAGAGATGAGCGAGAAAATCCCAGACATGGAAGACAGCTGATTAAAAACCCAGAGTTGGGAGGAGTGTCTCATTCAAGGAACAGCAGGGAGCCCAGTGTTACTGGATCTCAGAACACATGGGGGTGTGCAGGGTGTAAGAAGACTGGAAATGTAGGAGGCCAAACTGAATTTTATTTTTGATCCTCACAGTGATGGAGTTTATTGGTTAAGAGGATGACGTCGTCAGACCTTGTCTTTTGGAAGACCAGTCGGACAGCTTGAGTGGTGGATGGACTAGAATGGGCTATGTGTTATTATTAACCCCATTTTATAGATGAGGAAACTGAGGCAGACAGTTAAGGGACTTGCCCAGGGTCACGCAACTAATTAGTGTCTACAGCTGGATTTGAACTCAGGCCTTCCTGACTCCAGGGTCAGCATTCTATCTACTGACTCCACAGACCACTGACGTGGATTCAGAGGACCTGAGCATCTTTGTCATCACACATAAATTAGCAGGAAATATGACTCAACGATTATTTAACTCAGGGGCTAAGGAGCAAGAAGTCCTCGTTTCCTTCCTTCGATCTGCCCTGTGAGTCACGGAATAGGCATTTATTAAGCCCCTGTGGTGTGCCAGGCTCAGTGTAGCTAAGTGCCGGAGTGAAGACAAATGTGAGAGATGTGGCCGGGGCAGGCACTGGGGCCATGTGTACTACCCAACGTTTACGTGCGTGAATGAAGGTGACCTGACTCTCAGTGCCCAAGAGATCATCAGATGTTCACTAGCGGGTGAGTCCTTGACGTCCTTGACAGATGAGAAAGCCAAGGCCCAGAGAGGTTGGTGATGGGGCTTGCCTCGAGTCTCCCAACTCTGAAGTGTCTCCGGCAGGACTTAGACCCGCATGTCGCCAATTCCAGGTCCAGCGCTCTGCTTCATCAGCATCTAGATAATGACATCAGGACGACCTGTTAGTTGTACATGGAGAGGATGCTCTAGCACAGGGGTGGGGAACCTGCAGCGTCAAGGCCACATGTGGCCTTCTAGGTCCTTATGTGCGGCATTTTGACTGAGCCCAAGTTTTACAGAACTAATGCTTTTTATTATGAAGGGCACTTGTTCTGGGAAGTTCGGATTCAGTCAAAGGGCCGCCCTTGAGGACGTAGAAGGCCACATGTGACCTCACAGCCCCAGGTTCCCCACCCCTGCTCTAGCGTTTTCCAGGTCTTTGGGAACTTCCAAATGTTCCAAAGCCTGGAGCAAGGCCCGGATGGCTTGACTGTCCATAGAACTGACTGATGTTAGTGAGGAGAGGTCTGGATGTCCTAGAATTCAGATCTTCAGCTGAGGTCCAGACCTCATTTGGCCTCTGAAGAATCTTCTAAGAAATGAGCAGACCTTACCCTTTCAGGGAGCCAGGAAGGCCACCAAATCAGTCAGTCAATAGTCAATAAACATCAATTGAGCACCTGTTATGTGCCAGGCGCTGTGCAGTGCACTGGAGAGTTAAAAAAAGAGAGGCAAAAGATGACGGTCCCTAGCCTCAAGGGGCTCACAATCTAATGTCGGAGACAACAGGCGAGCAAACATGGACAAAGAAGCCATAGACAGGATAAATGGGGAATCGTCCCAAGAGAAAGCAACAGAATTAAGAGGTCATGGGAAACGCTTCCTTTAGAAGCCGGGATTTTAGGAAGCCAGGGTAGCCAGTAGGGGAGGAGGAGAGAGAGTGCTCCAGGCAGGGGGGCAGCCAGAGAAAATGCCTGAGCCAGGAGATGGAGGATCTGGTTCTTGGAAAGGCCAGAGACCAGAGTCACAGGTTGGAGAGTATGTGTCGGGGTGGGGGTAAGAAGACTGGAAGGGTAAGAGGGCCTTAGGACATGAAGGACTTTAAGTGTCAAACAGAGCATTTTGTGTTTGCTTCTGGAGGCGGTAGGGAGCCCTGAAGTTGTACTGAGTGAGGGAGTGACACAGTTGGACCTGGGCTTCTGGAAAATCATTTTGGTAGGTGAATGGAGGATGCATTGCAATGGGGGAGACTAGGGACAGGCAGACCCTCCAGCAGCTATTGCAATAAGCCAGGTGTGAGGTGATGAGGGCCTGCAGGGGGAGGAGGGGGATCATCAAAGGAAAGAAGGGGACATAGTGGCCATCTTTCAGTCAGTCAACAAGCATCTTTTTAATATATGTTTTATTTTTCCCCAATTACACATAAAACAATTTTAACGTTCATTTTTTAAAATTTTTGAGTTCCAAGTTCCTCCCTCCCACCACCCTATTGAGAAGGCAAACAATTTCATATAGTTTATACTATGCCGTCATGCAAAACATTTCCATTCAACTGGCATTTATTAAGCACTTAGCTTTTGGTAGGTACTGTGCTAAGCACTGGACACACAAAGAAAGGCAAACACAGCAACAACATAGCCCCTGCCCTCAGGGAGCACTTACTCTAGGAGAGGAGACATGTACGTACTAGATCTATGTGGTCTGAATGGGAGGAGATACATCAAAAAGGTGGCGTTATCAGGGGAGCGGTTAGATAGGGAGTCTGAAAGGGGAAGGGGAGAAGCCTCTAAAGGAAGGAGGGATCTGGGCCATCTTGAAGGAAGCCATGGAAGGCAGTAGCGGGAGATGAGGCGACCAGCCAGCCAGCTGATGCTCAGTTGGAACATGAGCTGCTGCGTCATTTTTCATATAAGGGTCAGAGAAGAAAACGAGCAAAGTAAGACCTGAGCAGCTCTG